ATATATATATATAGTTAAATATATTTTTCTTAATTACATATATTTTTCTAAATATATATATATACACACACACACACACACAAATGATTTTATAATTTTCCATGCTAATCGACAGTCTGTCAATGGAGTTTAGCTTCTATTAATTTCATAACACTCCATTAATACGTGTGATTTCTGACATGAATCTGTCGTTCTTTCACAAGATCAGTTTCGGTGGAACGTCAGCGGCTGGACTCCAGAAATCCCACTCCAAAAGAAACTTCCACGGCTGCTTGGAAAACGTGCTTTACAACGACATCAGTGTGATCGAGCGAGCCGAAGAGCTGCAGGTCTCCATCAGAGTTAGTGTGTGAACACAGTCACGTCTGCAGCTGCTTTATTTGGCCTGCTAGCAATTGTCAGATGTTGGCTGCTTAATTTTTCCATAATGAGAGCTTTGTGTTTCCGTTACCCTTACTATGTTCTCCTCCATTATACAGGGTTTTTTCTTTTTTTACAACCATTGTCTTGGGAATTTGGGGGTTAAACCAGTTACCAGCCCTTTAATTCATTGTCGTAATGGCCGTGACATTGGTTTCAAGATAATAGCCAGGAAGGCAAATGCATAATTTATGAAGCAGACATCATGACTGTGGTGCTTCACTATTGCAAATGAGAAATGCTCTTGGTTTTACTCAGTATTTTTTGTCTCTCGTAGGGGAACGTCAGCTTTACATGCACCGAATCCATAGACGTGCCGGTGACCTTCGCCAGTCCTGGAAGTTTCCTCGCTTTGCCGTGGGTCTCCGGTGGAGAAAGCGCCTCGGTCGCTCTGCAGTTCAGGACCTGGAACAGAGCGGGCCTGCTGATGACCTTTGACCTGCAGCATAACGCGGGAACGCTGTGGCTCTATCTGAGCGAGGCCAGAGCGCGACTGCAGATCCATAAGACCGGCCGGATTATGACAGACATCACCGCAGGTTCGGCTCATGCATTATGGGATATAATATGTTTGGAATGAAATAATAGCACGTATATACCATAGTTTCAGTTTATTTGACAGTAAAAGCAAAATCCATCTCTCTTGTGTGTCAAGAGTAAAGCAAAGTCAACATCAATGGCACCTGCTGCTGTGAGAAATGCAATATGTATGAAAATCTCTATGTATGAACATTTACATCACAAAGGAACTTTCTGGCTAAAACTAGTTTTAAACCAAATGAATGCAGAATAATTAATTACTTGAACTAAATTTTAGGTACCATGCTTAATATGAAGTATTATGTGAAACAGTATGCGGTATGCAAACATAAACATTGCAGTATCTTGATATATTGTTCAGAATTATATTCATCTTAGAAATAAATGCTTATTTTGCATTTTTAATATATTTAAAAAAAATAGCATATATAATCTATATAATAATATATATATTTATATGTAGTCTAGTTTTTAGTTTTAATTTATTTAGTTGTAGTTATTTTAGTACTTCAACGTCAACAAAATGAAAATGAGAAATTTTGCCTTGGTGACTAGCTGAAATAAAATGTGTTTTATTTATTTTTTAGTTAATATTTATTTTAATATTTATCATTTTTCAGTTAGCGTTATTATCATTAACTAAAGCTAAAACATTAAAAAAGAAAAAAACATTTTTGTTACTTAAAATAAAATAAATGTTAACTGAAATTAGCTCTAATTTTTTTTTTATCTGCTCCGCTAGTTGCCATGGAAACATTTTTAATTTTCATTTCATTTAACTTTAAATACTTAAATAACTTTAACTAAAATTAAAACTGTATATTTTAGTGTTGATAAACTATTATAGTTGTTTATATTTTGAATTGAATTTATTTTCATATTTTCTTTTTTCATGTTAATTTTAGTTATTTAAAAAAAAGTTTTTGTCATTTTTATTTTGATTTTGTCATTAAATATGTAGTTTATATAGTATATATAGTTTTTATTAACTTTTTAGTTGTAGTTTATTTAGTTTTAGTTATTTTTATTTAGTTATGTTGCCTTGACAACTAGCTGAAATAAAATAAGTTATTAGTTAATATTGATTTTATTTTAAGTAATGAAATGTTTTTTATGATGTTAGTTTTAACTTTATACATTTCATTGTGAAATGCATTAAACTCTGGTTGTATATATAACGCACCTTTGATAAATATAGTTAGCTGACTATATTTTGTGCATACTGCAAAATTAGCGTCAGTAGTATGCTAGTGTGTTAAAAATGCATATTTAATCCATTTGTGTGTGAAAATGTCTGAACTTTTGGCAATCCAATCCAATATTTCATCAAGACAGAGTTGCTGTCAAGTTCATTTGACACAACGCAAATAAAGTAAAGATCAAGCGCATTGCATTGTTGGATACAGTATTGAACAAAGTGTGCTGTAGTTGTGTACTGCACATTTTGGCAGATATCATCTGTTTATTTCATGCATACAGAAAATATACACACTGCATTTCTGAACTAACATGAGTAGTTTACGAGTATATCATTACATATATACTCTAAGTTTAAGGCAGAAATCTGTTCTTGCTGTTTATGTAAAAATGATCTCCCTAATGCCTGTTATTTTGCCTAATCCACATGCTGGCTGTTTCTCCACAGGTGCCAGTTTAAATGACGGTCAGTGGCACTCGCTGGAGCTGGCTGTGCGTCGAGGGCGTCTCGCAGTCACCCTGGACAGAACCGACAGCTCTACAGCGTCCACTTCCTTCCCTGTCGCGCCTGACAGCCAGCTATTCTTAGGCGGTAAGAGCAACCTTTAGCCATCCATCACCTCCTGCTAACACAAAGCAACACGTTAGGTCAGAGTAATTTCCCTCTACACGAGCCCAATCCTTCACGTTATTCAATCCATCCTTTCACTCAACAAACAGCTTCCGCTGAGAAAAGCACATTGGTTTAGCTTTCTAGCGGTTTGGGGCTGAAACTCTCTAAGGCTTAATTGCCTTCAGCTTAGTAACTGGAGAGAGAGAGAGTTACGCCGTCTATGAATGCACACCTGCAGTGGTTTTGCCTTGAGCCACAGTAAATAATGCATCATATCCTCATGCATGTGATGAGATCTGCCAATATGACAGTCATGTAGGACAGTTTGTGACATGTCATAACAGTATGTGAAACATTTGTAGGTAATTTCCAATGAGCAATTTGTACATTTTTGTTCAACGCAGTCCAGATCATTATTGCAGGTAGTATTATTAGCATTATTGTTATTGTTACTTGGGGGAAAAAACATTAATATAAACTAAAATATAACTAAATAATATAACTGAAATAAAACAAAATTAAATTAAAAATAAATAATAATAATGATAAGTATAACAAATTAAGCTTATTTTATTTCAGCTAAATAAAATGTAAAAAATTAATAAAAAACTATATTTTTTAGCTATATACAGGTGCATCTCAATAAATTAGAATGTCGTGGAAAGGGTGTCAATGATTGTCTTCTGGACAACTGTCAGATCAGCAGTCTTCCCCATGATTGTGTAGCCTAGTGAGCCAAACTGAGAGACCATTTTGAAGGCTCAGGAAACCTTTGCAGGTGTTTTGAGTTGATTAGCTGATTGGCATGTCACCATATTCTAATTTGTTGAGATAGTGAATTGGTGGGTTTTTGTTAAATGTGAGCCAAAATCATCACAATTAAAAGAACCAAAGACTTAAACTACTTCAGTCTGTGTGCACTGAATTTATTTAATACACGAGTTTCACAATTTGGGTTGAATTACTGAAATAAATGAACTTTTCCACGACATTCTAATTTATTGAGATGCACCTGTACATTTTATTTCCACTAGCTGCCATGGAAAAATGTATTATTTTTTGTTTAGTTTAACTTGAAAACTTTAACTAAAACTGTGTAAAGTCAATATTAACTGAAATTAAATAAACTATAACAATTAAGCTTATTTTGTTAAATAAATGCAAATTGCTAAGAACTATATAGACAAATATGTATATTAGGGCTGTCATCGTTAACGCGTTAACGCATGCGATTAATTTTACAACCCAATTAACGCAAAATTACTGAAGCACAATTTCTATTCTAACCCTTTAACCCAATTTTGCTTCTCTGCTTGCGATCAGATCATTTTAAGCCGCTAAACTCCGGGACAGTTTTCAGTCCAATGATCCAGTAAGCGCATGCATTCAAACAATCCGTCCAAAACAGTGCTAATATAAAAGAAACCAGGCTGATTACATCAGAGATTGCAAAGAGAACAGAGACTCGCGTTGCGTTTTAAGTGAATTATTCATTCCAGTGTGTTTGGCTTTAAAACACGAGCTCTGTCATATTCTGTGATTGTCTCTGAAGAGCGCGAGCCCTCACACGTCGCGTGCTTGTGTGAAGTACAGACTGAACGGATTGTCAACCAGTGTTGCCAAGACCGCGGTTTTCCCGAGGAATTGGGCTACTTTAACACTGTTGCCGTGGGATGTTTTTCATGTCCGCGGGTTAAAGCGACCCCAATAACGTTAGATATTTAGCAATTGGGTGGGTTTTGCTGTGAAAACCTGGCAACCCTGTTGTCAACACATCCCACCACTGTATGGCCAGATGAGACGCAAACTACGTTTTCTCGACTGGATAACCAGTCTCGCTAGTAAAGTTTTGATGGATGAAGACTGCAATCAAGGTAAAGACGATTGCGGTGGCGTTCAGGAGTCGTACAGTAAGCACGCGTGAGTCCGTTATAATAACGCGTGTATGAGTGCTCTTGACGCACTGATCGCACATTGTATTTATGCACAGGCACAGACGTTTCCGTACATTCACGTTGTTTCCACACACATTCACGATAATGTTTTGATTTGTCATGTTTATGTTGCTGTGTTTAGTTACACTGAATGGATCCATGTACTGTGGTAGATATATGCAGTCAGCAGGTGGTTGGTTTAGATTTTTTTGGCATCTCCATGTGGTCCTGTTCGGTATCGCAACTTGGCTTCTCTAAAATGTAAAAAAAAAGCTCTTAGCTGTTGCACTGTACACATACTTTACAATTCAGATTTTTTTTTCTTTCATATGTGCTTATATGGGTTCCTTATATCATTTGGTTCTTTGGTGTCCTTTTGGAGTTTCTAAGTGTCCTTTTTTGGAAAGATATCTAAATTTATCTTGGGGAAAAATATAGATATAGAAAATATAGATTTTTGAGAATCACCCTTCAATCTTTTGGTTTACTTTGCTGGATATAGCAAATGATGACAAAATAAACATTTGAAACAAGATAAATGGTCTATGCTTAATTTCATGAAGTGTGCGATTAATCGCGATTAATCACAGAAAAAGTATGTGATTAATTAGATGAAAAATTTTAATCGATTGTCAGCCCTAATATATATATATATATATATATATACACACACACACACACATACATATATATATATATATATATATATATATACAATATATATATATCAGGGGCATTTCCTCCGAGTAGGCAAGGGAGGCAGTGTCTCCTCAAAATATTAGATGAGAAAAAAAATTGTAGTGCAAAAATAAAACTGCCAGTATTACAAAATATAACATTAAAAAGTGGAATGGGGGAAATCACGTGAGAGGAGGCAATGCCTCCATTGCGATATGATTGGATATGACTGGTTATATTCGGCTGTGATTGGTTAATGCGATAAATCCCGCCTCTTGTCAAGTCAAGTCAAGTCACCTTTATTTATATAGTTAATAGGCTTAACTTACAATGTATGTATACAATGTATGTATGTATATATATATATATATATATATATTAGGGCTGTTAAATTTTGAATCTAATTCATTATACAATGTGGCGATTTAATTAATCTAATTAATCACATATGAATTGCACATTAAATTTGGCTGAGAAATTACCCACAAAAGATAATTTAAAGTCATTATTGTGTTGCATGAGAAAAGCATGAAATAGATATTACAAAGTATAATATTGATATTAAAATAACACTGCCATAGCTTAAACGTGTTATTTCGTGTGTATTTGTGAAAACACGTCCTGACCACTGACTGTTTTTGTGCTCAGGATGTCCGGACACAGAAGACAGCAGCTGCAGAAACCCGTTCAATGTTTTCCGAGGATGCATGCGTCTCATCCGGACGGGCGGCGCTTTAGTGGATCTCATCCGAGTGCAGCAGATGTTGTTTGGGAATTTTAGCAATCTACAGATGGACATGTGTGGGATCGTCGACAGGTAAGCAATTACACTTTTATGTGAACTCACAAAATCGTTCCGCTTTCCATTTTCTTCCTCGCTAAATATATGCGTTCAGCTTGATTACCTAAATACAGAGATTAATTAGCCAGAGAAATGGCGCTGAATACTTATTCGCTAAAAGACGCAGATGATGAGCCTCGGGGAGAAACTGCCCTCGTTTAAATATTTATTCATCTGATCAATCGCAATTAATCACTTTCTGCTTCGTTATAAATGCAACTTTTGTTCACAGTTTAGTTCTGATGGACATACGACTTGTAGAGCTTTTGCAGTGTGGGCTTTCTAGAGTTTCTGTTTATTTGTTTATTTAAATGTTTTTTGCATCACCGTTTGTGACATGAATGATATCTCAAATTGTGCAGCTTGTTAAGGAGAGTTGTTTTTAAATTATTTAATTTAATTTAAAATTATTTTTTAAATGTTATTTTAAATAAAAAAATAATTTCAAATAATTTTAAAATATTCTTATTTTTTATTCATTTTAAAGCAGAAGTGTGTAATTTCTGTGGCACTAACAATACTTAGGTTTGCACAATATATCTATATCATCAGCCAACATTATAGATTTTTTATTTTGAAATAGTATTACGCGTGTTAAATGCAAAAAATAGGTAAATGAGCATGAACAATTAAATATCCAGTTTCCAATATTGGATATTTAACTATGCATGCGCCTTTCTCATAGTTTTACACTTAAATCACATTTGTTATCATGAAAAGCTCATTGTGCAAAAGTTTATTTTTAAACCTTTAATAATTTATTAACACAGGTAAATGTAATTATTTTAACATGTAAACAAATGTTTATTTAACAAAACATCAATCTTTGTACATTATAATTTATGTGTTGCATTTAAAAAATTTAGTGTTTTTTAGGGATGCACCGAAATGAAAATTCTGGGCCGAAGCCGAAACCGAACAAACTGAAACACTGGGCCGAAGGCCGAAGGCTGAATACCGAATACCGAACACGGTTTTTCGAGTTTTTTTCCCCATGTATTTTTGCCAATTTGTTTTCACCATTGCATAAATTAAATAGCCAAAATCTGCTTTTTACTGTTTTGTCTCTGTTTCAGAGGAAAATCAATTACAAAACAGCAATTAAAAAATATTTAACACTGAACATTTTTAACATTCTAGCAGACACTATGCCAACAAAGCACAATTTAACTTAAAATTAATGAGTTAGTAAAATAATATTTTTTGGCCATCAGACCCCATTCTTGAATCAGGCATGTATTTTTACTGTACAATTAAAAGCAGCCTTCCAGAGAAGAGACTTCTTTTAAAACATTAGAAAATATTACAGGTCCTAATTTGAACACTATGTGTGAATGTTATTAACAGAGCTGTTGTACTGATTATTATCATTATTATTGTCTTACTTTTTATTTTATTTTACAGAACAACAGTAAAATTACAATACTAACATTTATGAATGTTTATAGAGTTCTTGCTTTTTCTCAACTTTTATTTTGGCGGAAACGCGCAGGAAGACCTTCTTTTTCTTGACAGCAGATTTATAAATGAGTCTCATTACGAATACGTCGCATGTATCGCATTCTCACGTGCCTTGTAAAAATTCATAAAAATGTGACTGAGCAACTGACAAGTAACACTGTTTCAGCGCAGATTTTCCTCGCGCTTTGGACTTTGAACGCTGGTTAACAAGCAGATAGCTCTGTCAGAATACATGCAATGCGTGCGTGTATTAGAAAACATAACGTTCTGCAGTTTATTTACTAATTGTTTAAGGCCATTTCGCCATTTCAATCATCATACAGTAACCAGCAACAATCACCCCTTCCTCTTCTCATCGAAGACATGCGCTGCAGTACTAAACAGTCTCTCGCTGTCGGTGCTTGTAATGATTTTTGCGTCTTTCTCGGACGGTTTTAAGTGCT